TAAATAAAAATACATACTTAGAGAAATCACCAAAGTTTGGGTAATAATAATTCTTTTAACCTACTAATGTTAAATGGAAAACCAGTATTTATAGTTAGCAAAAAAAAAAAAAAAAAAATTCTTGCCTTAAGAAGGTAAACTTGAACTATGCCTCAATTTTGTGTAAGAAGGATGTTAGATAATTTGACATCTGTGATTCTATTTATACTCAACAAATCTACATTACTACTGGTAAACTAAAGCCTAGAAAGTCTTAAATAACTTGCCCAAAGTTACACAATGAATTATTGACTGGCCCATGTTTGGTAATTCCATTTAAATATTCTGTATCTTAAATTTGTGACAGCCTCATGATACTTTAAACCATCGTGGTCTGAGTCCTAGTTCCAATTATCAAACACATAACTAGTACATAGACGACCATACTCTAAAACAAACAAATCAAGTATAAAGCATGTTTATGGAGAAGAAAAGGAAAACAACCCTCCAAAAAGTATATTCGTGGATTATTTGATAAAGTCAGGCTAGGAGAGCGAGGGGTGATAGTAAATAAATGTCATGCTCTAAAACTGAATTTTGCAGACAGTTTTCAGCATGTTTTTTCTATGTTTCACTTTTCACCATCAGCTGTGAGCTGTTTCCAAGTGTGAAATCGCCTAAGAGAGGAAGCAAAACTGTCATTTGACATCTGGGAGCGTGGAGATTGGGTTGCAGTGAAAAGCATCTTGGACTTCTTCAATTTACACACATTTTCACCGACAAATTCTCAAGTCTGAAAAGTATTCAATGAGAACTATCAATGTAAATTATTAGCATTTATAAAGGGTCATAATGGGGGCGGGTGACTTGATAAAGGTGAAGGACACACCCTGATAGAACACCATATCCACTTGTTTAAGACTAGAAAGGGAAATTAATTGATTACATTAGCCTAATAAAAATAATATATAAACAATTTCACTCCCTGGTCTTAGAGCATATTTACTTTTAAATACAGTCATTTGTGTATTGTATACTTAATATCATAGGTTCTATTTTCCAGTAGCATTTTAATGATGTGAGTCAAGACTGCTAAGAAAAAAAATAATTTCTTGACATTTTATTTTTCCTTTTGGAAAAATGAATAGTTCAAACACTATAATTTTAAAAAGTATGTTCTATATTATAATAATTTAATAACTACAATGATAAAACACATAAAATATTTTGGGTAAAAATTTTACACACACACAGAGAAATAGAAATAAAATTAGAACAACTACAAAGAAGTCCTCTGGAGAAGAAGAATCAATTTACCTCAGTTTTTATGCTGTAATCTCCTACACTGAAAAGTTATGAGGATGGATCTAAAAGCCTCCTAATAAAGTGCCTACAAGTCTCCTCACAGGGAAAGTAGACAGTGTTCTATTTCTATTGTCGTGCTGTACAAGCTTCTCCTACTTTGGCTTTTTCTCATCCTGAACTCTGTTCTGTGTTTCTCCAGCATGAAAGGAACCCATTTACCATGAATGATGTTTATTTAAAATAAAACCTTTCTAGAGAATCATACTAGATAATCTAAGGATACAAAGTGAACCTAAAAGGAATGGTTTCTACTTTGAAAACAGGGCTGGGTTTGATCAGTGAATTCGTATTCTCAAGACCCTCTTGATGGACCTGCAGCTGCAGCCATTTATGTACTGGCTTTTTCACAGATGTAGACAGAGAAAGCTCCATGCTTTTTTGTCTTTTTGTTGCTGGATCTGTATTCTTGAATATAAAAAAGTGGCAACTTTTCAAAAAAAGTTCTCAGTTTTGGTACAGAAACTTGTGAATATTTAGACATCCTTGGTAGTATATGTTGTTGAAATGACTATGACTTTTAAAAATCTAAGATCACAAAATTGGCAGAAACTATACATAAATAACAGAAGGTGATCATTTGCATTTCAAAATTTATCTTTCTTGCTTTTCCCCTCAATTAGACCAAAACATGTTGATTCACAGGTTTCTCTCTCTCTCTCTCTCTCTCTCTGTGTATGTGTGTGTGTTTTCTTTTTTAAACTTATTTATAGAGCAGAATAATGGCCCCCCTGCTAGTTTGGCATTTTCTCAAGTTTCTGTCCATGTAAATCGAAGCTGTTACTGGAAATTTTTTCTCAAAATATAAAGGCACATCAACCACAAGATAAAAAGATACATTGCTGATACTGTAAAGTACAGGGCAGGTGGATAATGTTTTTAGGACAAATATATGATAAGGATTCCCAGGAGGGTGGAGTGGTAGGGGTAGAGGTTGCATGCTGTTTAAACAGAAGTGAATCATTCTCATCATAATCTTGTGACAACTTTACTTTCTAACCAAACATCAGCTGCTTAACATGCTTTAAAGTTACTTACAATAATATTAAGGTTAGAGTGAGGAAGCTGACAGGAAGTGGGGTGGGTGGGGGGAGAGGGTAATTACTTCAGCCTCTTAATGTTTCTAAGAGTAGATTAAAAGATAGCTAAGTACTCCATGTTCCCATGAATTGATTTGTGATTTTTAAGCATTGAAATATTAGCATATTATCACTGCTCATCCTCTTTGAAAAGAGGAGAAAAGCCTACTTGTAGTTTTTATCAGTAGTACCACTATTCAGTTTTCAGATAAATAGTAATTTAGAGTTGTTTGTTCCAAATCCTTGCATTACAGGCAGCAGGGTGAGGGTGGGCAGTGTAGTAGACTTCACTGAGGTCTGTAACACTCCACCTTATGAGATTATCTAAACTAGAACATTAGCATTACTTCTCAGTTAAGGACATCACTGGTTTTGTTTTATTCTATTGACAAAATAAATTCATATGCCCAAGGAATGAAGGGACTTTCCACATTTTTCAATGCATGCCATAATACTATAACACTTTTGTAACTCACAAAGCTTGAAAGTACAATTCGTTTATGCAAATAATTACAACAAAGCCCTTCTTCATATTACAGCTTTCATCAAATGTTAGTGAAGGACAACCTCAAAGATGATAGCAAAAATCCATTAATGGTAGACTGCCACCTGCTGGTCAACGATGAGAATTGTGATTTCAGGAAAAGGCATAAAAATTGGAAGTTGGAAATTGGTTTATATTAAATTCATTATTCAAGTACACAAAACTGAAAATACGTGTCTGTATGCTTTTGTTCCAAATATATTAAAAGTCTTATATGGCAACATGCTATGGATGCTAAAGTAAACATGACTGCTTTAAACTGAAGAAAAATAATCTGTGAGAATGTCAAAGTATCACCTTACAGATAGTTTTCAGTAAGGAAGTTACAATAAAAATACAACATTATACATTCGATTTTGTTGTGCAGGTGTCACTCAAAAGAACTCCCAAATTTAATTCTGATCAAAAACCTTAAATTCATTATATTAACATTATATATTATATATTATATATTAACAAGTATTGATGTACATTTGGTACCCAAAATGTTATTTCTTATCAAATGATAAAAGTGTGGGGGAGTAATCTGTGAAAATTAAAGTAGAAAACTATAATAGTGACTTCACTATGAAAATTTTTCCCATTAAATCATACTAATAAGGTTTAAAAAAAAAGCATCATATTGCCTATTTGAGAGAGACAAAAATGTAGGCATGCTCTATTGCACTCAAGAAGAAAAAAAATCTAGCAGTCTTAATTTGAGAAAAGGAGAAGATGAGGGAAAGAAAGAATATAACAGAAAGATGAAAATCCAAATACTTATTTTCAGAAAGGTTTAGGATATCTGCTTTGCAGGTTTAAAAACTTTGTTGTTCCCTAATATAGAAATAATTTGTAAAAATTAAGGCTGTAGCTAAAAACTATACCAGTCTTTCAGTCATAATTACAATCACTTCCCATGACGAAAGGGAACAATGTTAGTGTCAGTAATATGCTGGTTAGATGCTGCTGCTAGGTGCCATCAAGTTGGCTCTGACTCATAGTGACCCCACGTGCAACAGAACAAAACACTGCCCAGTCCTGCTCCATCCTCACAATCACTGCTACATTTAAGCCCACTGTTGTAGCCACTGAGTCGATCCATCTCGCTGAGGGTCTTCCTGTTTTTCTCTGATCCTCTACGTTACCAGGCATGATGTCCTTCTCCAAGGACTGGTCCCTGCTGATGACATGTCCAAACTACATGAGGTGAAGTCTCACCATCCTTGCTTTACTATGCTGGTTAGATAGTCAGAATTAAAAACTGTATCAATTAACAAATAAGCCTACCATGTCAACATAATCAGCTTGAGCCTCCTTTGAAGGCCAGTGGGGTGAAGAATGAAGTAACTTTGGCCATCCAAAGAGGGCGCATGCTAGGCAAAAGATGAAGGAACTTTGGATTTAAATATAGTCCCATCTGCACTGATTATAGAAAAGAAACTAATTCAAATCCAATTCATATGCTTAAGCTACCTATAATCACTAACAAAGAAGATAACACAGCCAGAAATAAATATCTAATCTAAAAGAAAAGAAGACAAGGCAAGACAACACAGTAAAGGCAAGAGAAACCTGTGGTGTCAAGCAGTTGGCTAAACCGGTGGTCTTAAAACAACAGCATGCTTCCTCAACTTTTCTTGTCACTGAAGTCACAAATACTGCATTTAAAAAAAAAAATTCTGCATTTTTAACCTTGGCAAGTTTTCCCTTTTAGTAAGCCACCACTCACATCTCTATAACAATCAATCATTTAAAGAGGTTCAAGGTGTTTAAATGTCTTTCTAAACACTAAGAAGTTAAGATATTTCTAAGACAGAATTCATTGCCAGTTTTAAGGGAAATATAAACTCATTTAACAAAAACAGAAATATGTGTGTGTGTGTTGTGTACACACATATACATCTACAGACACATATATATTTATGGATTATATAATGGTTTTAGCCATAAACCCAACTCACATGTAGTAGCTAGTAAAAAACACAACTTCTACAAAGAAGTGAGAGCTGCCAAACTACTTTTTCAAGTGAAACATTTTAGGAGATTGCTCTAACCTGGGGCACAGTACATTCTCTCTATGGCATCGCTGTCACAGGAATCTTCAACCTCATTCCACCTGCTAAAATACGTTAGCTGAATGTGTCCTAAAAACAAAACGACAGGAGAAATCAAAACATTTTTCTCTTCCATTTTCTGCAGAAGTGAACTGTAATTACTCCTTTTGTAGCTAAAAACAGTATCATTAAGAATAATGGCATCATTAAGTACTAGAAGCTATTACTGGGGGTGAATTTGCTGCACTGATAATGAAGCTCTAGACAGGAAATGAAGATACTAATTACAAGATAAAACGCCTACTCAGTTAATTGGAAGCAACAGCGAATAAAAAGAAATGCATTTGCAAAAGTTCCTGACCTCTATCATTCAATAAGATGTTGTTTGGGTTCAAATCACGGCACACAATCCCCTCTCTATGTAAAGCATCAAGGGCTACCACCATTTCAGCTGCCCATCTTTGAATGCAGTCCTCTGGGATGTAAAACCTGGAGCTGAGTGCTAATTTTTTATCAAGGTCCTCAAAAATCTGATGTATTTCCTTGTCTCCTTCTAGGGCCAACCCACTCTCTCCCTTGGTCTCAGAGTCTCTCTGGAATAAAGAAGTTGGCTCCTCTTTAGTCAAATCACCAGCTTGATCTGTAAACAGCAATACTTCTTCTGTTTTTAAAGTGTCTGTGTTTGTACTATAGTTATTAGCACCTGACAGTGGGGTAGATATATGGAATAAGCTTTCTTCTGTGTTGTTTGCAGTTAGTGCTGACCCAATCACTTCCAGTCCTTGAAACTCAGGATCTGAGCTGTGCAACAAAGATCTGTCTCCTGAACAACCGTGTTCCACAGCAGCTATAAATAACACCTCAAGATCCTCCTGTGCATAGTGTTTCTCTGTCATACTGTGGGATTTGGGCCTATGGGGATCACTCAGTTCCTCTGTGTCTCTTTCTACATGTGGTTGGCATTGTTCAGTACTAAGCCTGAGGCATAAAACATCAGGGGCTTCCAACAGTTTATTTTCTATAATGCCTGTATTAGCCTGTATAAACTTTGTAGGGCCCACTGCCGCAGCTTCTTTTGTTGGCTCCAGTTCACCAGGAAGATTGACAAGAAGATCGGGCCTTCCTTCATCAGTACCACTGACGTCATCAAGAGCAGCATCTTTAAAAGAAATAACTGGAACTGAGTCATTGGAGCCCCGGCTAATGGTGTCATGAGCTTGAAACTCTACCTTGCTCTCACCAGTTTTAAAACTCCTGGAAGTGTTGTCTCCATCTGGAAGAGTGAAAAATGGTTTCAAAGGTTCTGATTTTAGGCTATACAATTTTTCTCCAAAATCAAGTCCCAAGAGTTCACTAGTGCTATCCTTACTGTCTATCCGAAAGAATTCCATGGGGCTGTTTTTAGATCTACTGAGGGAATCAGATGGTCCTAGAGAACTAACTGCTTCTGGGGTATCATCTTCAGGGAAGAACTTTGGATCATGAGATATCAGCTGTGTGCTGTGGCCGTCATAGTCAGCAGCAAGAGGTGCTGGGAAACATTTAATAGCTTTGGCATCTTCAGTTTTCATAAAGGGCTCCTCATTTAAAGATCCTGGTTCAATCTTTTCTTGCCCATATTCATTGCATAATGTTAGGTAACTAGTAGTGCATTCTTCTTCTGAACTTGAACCAGAGTCTAGCCATTTTGGAGAGCTATCCTGGCCATCATCTTCCTGGTTGCTATCATCTTGAGAGCTTGGAGTAAGACTCGTCTTCAAAGGCAGAACTTTAAGCATGCTTCCACCATCACTTCCTCTGGATTCAAAACTGCTGCTGTCCTGAGGACTAGAAATCGGCTGTTGCAGGTGAACTTTAGTAAGTGTAGATGTTCTCACTTCTTGGATATCAAAGCTTTCTTCAGGACTGCGGTTTAGAAACTTACTGATATAGGACCAGAGTTTGCCACCTGTGAACATGTACGAAAAAGAAAAAAACAACTTAAGATCCCAAAAGTAATGGTTACATATTTTTGTCATTAGAAAAGCAAGAAGTATTTTAATCATCAATCAAAACCAGGAAAATGATAAACATTAACACCAAGTGTGCTGTAAGAAAAGGATATTTATTAAATCCCTTTTTTAGTAATTGCTAACTGGTGAGTATGGGTTCAATCATATCTCCTGCGATTAATTACTTTTTAAATGACAACCTATTTCTTCATTTAAAGGGAAATTAGTTATAACAAATGGTAATATGTATTCTCACAACTAAGATTCTGCTTTAAAGTTAAATATAATCTAGCTGTAGAAACATTTGACTATATTCTGATCTGTTTATGTAATAATTTTTTCAAGCATGGCCCTCAGTCAAGTGGAAATACATAAATAAGTGCTGCTTAAAATTTATATGATAGTGGGAAAAAATCAGCAATATTATTCAATTTGAAAATGTCCACTGAGGACTGAAGGAGGGTATGGCATCTGGTATATAATCTTATGCCTTTATAAATGCCATTAATAATACATTTCCCCTTTTCTTTCTTCACGCTCATCACGTGCTGTGTAAAACCAAGGAAAGCCCTTTAACAAGGCAAACTATTGTAACATATATCTCAAGGAAAAAAACAAAAAAAGCTCACTGCCATTGAGTTCACTCCAACTTACAGCAACCCCCACTGGGTTTCCAAGGCTGTAAATCTTTACAGAAGGAGATCGCCTTATCTTTCTCCCACAGAGAGGCTGGAGGGTTAGCAGCCCAATGTCTTAACTACTACACCATCAAAGCTTCTCATAATATATATCAGAAACCTATAAAAACTAAAATAATAGAAATCAACGTACATACATAATCCATATTTTACCAGCAGTACTTGTTATGTAGTTATTTTGCCATATTTACCATATTTTTATTTTGTTTTGGTTCAAAATCTCAAGCCCTTCTCAACCATTAAAATCTTCAAATAAATAAACTATTATAAGTATCAGAAACCTACTGACTATAAACAGTATTATGAAAATATGATAGAGAAATCTTAAAAACAGTAACTGAGGAAACATGCTTTATTAAGATATAATTGTAGCCTCCAGAAATGTGTTACTAATAAATAAATCCTTCTACTGATTTGGAGCAGGCAAATTTTCCAGCACATTTTTAAATATCATTATTTAGCATCAAATGTAAAAGGCAGCTAAATCTTAAGGAAAATAATCATTGACAGTCTTCTGTATGCATGAAAAAGTCAATGGAAACATTCAAAATACTTTTTTCTACTTCCCATTTCACCTCAAAGTAAAAATGTAGAGAAATTCAATAATTACATAAAGTGCCTGGTACTGTCTCTAGCAGAGAATAAATGCTCAATAAAGGGCAAATGTCATAATATTAATCCTAGGATTCTCCTACATCTCTTTCTTCCAGTGATTAGGTTAGAAATCTTCCCATTTGGAAAATAGGACACTATGGTTTTTAACTTTCCCTCTCATTTTTTCTTAGCTAATGCTTTCTGTCCTCTTTGGATTATTTCCCCAGAGTCAAACTAAAGCTGAAGGATTAATAAAAGACTTAGAAATGCATTAATCACAAAAGGAGCTACGTACCGATGCCATCTCTTTTAGTCTTTTGATAATAACCACTTTCCTCTCTAAATAATCATATCCCAAATATTCATATTATGGCACTAACAATAATGCCTCAACTGGAAATAAGCACTCTTGACTGCAATCCAAATGAAAAAGACATGTCATTTTCAATTTCTCCTACATTATAACTACTTTAAGGATAGGACTAAGTCTTTTTCTTCTTTGTATATCCACTGTAAACAGTGTCCATAGGAGCCCTGGTAGTGCAGTGGTTAAATGCTTGGCTGCTAACCAAAAGGTCAGCAGTTTGAACCCACCAGCTGCTCTGTGGGAGACAGATGAAGCAGTCTGCTTCTGTAAAGACTACAGCCTTGGAAACCCTATGGGGCAGTTCTACTCTGTCGTTTAACGTCACTGTGAGTTGGAATTGACTAAATGGCAATGATTTTAGCTTTAGACAGTGTCTAGGCACTTGGCTGCTAACTAAAAGGTCAGTGGTTCAAACCCATTCAGTGGCTTCTTGGGAGAAAGAACTGGCAGTCTACTCTATGAAGATTACAGCATAGAAAACATGACAGGACAGTTCTACTATGTCACATAGGATGATTATGAGTCAAAAATCAACTCAACATCAGCCAACAACAACATGCAATGTCCAGGACACAACAGGCCTTCAGTCAATGCTTATTAAATCAGATGGTAACCATCAGATGAGATGTGTCATTCATTTCATAGCACACAGTATCTGCAGCTAAAAAGCACTGTGATCAGCAAGAAACCATACCTAATAAAGTTCTAAGAAAAGCTTCACTCATTCTTAGGCCAATTCCACATAGATGAGATGCTGATATCTAAAATTCAGTGTCCTTATGGTGTTAATTTTTGCCCTCAAAATCACTTCCTCTTTCTTACTTCTGAGATACTCTGGCACCAACTCTGTCTTTGGACCAAACTTGGAATATTTTTTCACCTTTTTGTATCCTAAAACTGGAGAAGTTTCTAAGTCCTAAAGGATCTACCCATAATATTTCTCCAAGTTATTATCTTCACTTAATTCTTTTAGCTACCCAGTACTCCTTACAGTCATGCTAGGGCTCCAACTAGATCTCTACTTGAAGTCCATCTTGTGTCATGCTATTCTACTAATTGTTGCCCAGTTATTCTTCCTTCTTATCATTTCATTTATGTAAATAGCACTTTTTATGTCATTTCTCCATTCAAAAATCTACAGTAAATTCCCTCTACCCACTGAATAAAATACCAACTCCAAATAGGCATTTGAATCCCTTGGTAATACAGAAATAACCCATGATTTGGTCCTCTCCCCTACTCATCACATTATTCATCTGAATTAGATTTTCCTTCATATCACCGATACTAGGCTTTTCCTCATACTACAGTCTCCACTTAAGAATTTTCTTTACTACTTGTTTCCTCAATACCTGCTTATCAAAAAATCAAATCTATGCTTGATGATCCTTCAGAATTGTTATTTTCTGTATCCCTCACTGGATAAAATTCCTATTTTCTCTGAATCTTCTATATCACTTTTTCCCTCTGATGACATTCACAACAATCTATTGTATATTAATATTATTTTTATGTTTTTGCTATCTCCTTTACCAGACTGCAGGGGCTTAACAACTATACGCAGGAGATTCCCTCTAGCATATGAAATGATAGGTATTAAAAATATATTAATTAAATTGAATTATAAAGCCATGACATCTTTGTAAAAATGTTACAAACCTTTCAAGGAAATGTACTATTAATTAAGTACTATTAATGTCATGTTTTGGGAGTTTTATTTTCTATTTTAAAACATATGGGTTTATAGTAAAAATTTTAGAAAATGCAAGGAAAACAGCAAAAATTCAGAGTGTGCATGTCACCCATAATGCCACCACCTAATATAAACAGTTTCAGGCTTTTTATTCACAATTAACATCACAGCATGAACGTTTTCTAATTTGTATAAGAATATGAACTTGAATGTCTATAGAGCATATCCGTGTGATAGATATGGTGTATTTAAATGTTCCTCTATTGTTGGACATTTTAGTTGTTTCCAGTCTTGTATTATTAGAGTTAAAATAATAAATACTTCTGCATACAAATATCTGATATTCCTGATTATGTCATTAGGACAGAATCTCAGAAATGAAAGTACCTAAACATTCATGAACACTTCCAACACTTCTGGTATATGTCCTCAAATTGTTTTACAGAAAGGCTGTACCAGAATCCACTCCTATAAGCCAAGTGTAACAGGGCCATGTTCACAGCACCTTGCCTACTCTGGATATTATCAAGTTTATCAATTTGATCAATCTAAAATTACACCTTTTCATTCTTTTTATCATTAAATAAAAATTAAATGAGATTCCTAGCACTTTCTTTATGGAGTTCATTCCTAGCCTAAATAAATATCCTACTATGAATTCCAAAAACTCTGCACTTTCAAGGGAAAAAAACTCTTTTAGCTCTTTCCCATTTTTTGTTGGGTACCAAGTTAAAATGGATGCTCAATATGTACCTACATAAACAAAATTTTTGTCTTATCAAATATTTTTTCAAAGTAAAAATCATGAAAAATCGTACTACATACAAAATACATTGTGTTATTCCCACTGGAGTTTCTCACCCACAAAATCTGGATGAGATTTTATGTCTTACAGAGTTAAGATCAGGCCTAATAGACAAGTTTACACAAATGTCAGCATTATTGCTGTAATCTTTAACAATAATATTTACCTTAAAAAAAAACTATTATTGCTAAATCTCAAGCCATAAATATTAAAGATTTTAAATATTTATAGTTTTTAAACTTTAAGAATATAAATGACACCCTTCTAAGCTGTGTTGAATAATGTGTTGTTGTTGTTGTTGTTATGTGCCATCAAGTCAGACTAGACTCATAGTGAGCGACCCCTCCTTGGGTTTCCAAGGCAGTATCACTACAGAAGTAGATTGCCCCATCTTCCTTCCGAGAAGTGGCTGGTGGGTTTGAACCGCCAGCCTTCTGGTTAGCAGTCAAGTGCCTTAGGCACTATGCTACCAGAGCTCCTATTGAATAATGTAAAACTGCAAATATTGGACCCATTTTAAGCTATGAAAACTGCAATTCATAATGATTAATAAAAATGTCTTTATCTCTCATCAGATTTTAATTCACTGGCTTTCTATAAGATTACAAAGCCAATTTGTTAATTTCCTTGGTCAGAATTTTTGTTGTTATCAGCAGCCAGAGTCACTCCTCCCACCTCAAGGCAACCCCATGCACAATGGAACAAAACACTGCCCAGTCCTGCACCAACCCCTGATCAGCTGCAGATGTGATGGCTGTGACAGGTTTTCATGGGTTAATTTTTGGAAGCAAACTGGCAGG